CATATTGTTGATGCATACTCTTGCCACAGCTTCGTAACATTCTAGTACTAACCCTGAGTAAATTCGTAGTCTGTTCGGGGTAAGTAGTGCCTATCTGCTATCTGTATAGATGAGCTTGTTCCTACCAGTGACATTGTTTCTGGTGATTTCTTTTGCTGTCATGACAATCTCCATGAGCTTGGTTTGAGCTACACTGCTCACAGCCCATTTTATGTTGAGGTTCAATGAATTGGAGTATATTCCACATCCTGAGCCTTGTTTTGTTTTAGAACTGACGGTGTAGATATAAATCATACCTGCCATTTCCGGCTCTTCTATTCTAAACATCAGTTTCTGTCCCAAACGTGCAGAGGCGTGTCATTGTCATCAAAGCTACCTCCTTGATGTAAATATCAAGGGGAGTGAGACAAAGAACGACTTCCATGGCTCTGGTTGGTGTGGTTTTCATGGCTCCTGTTATGTTGAGACATGCTATTATTTGAATTTGTTCTAGTTTGCGGATAGCTGTCAATTTTTGGATTTTCGGTACCCGGACAACTGCACCGTATATCAGCATATGTCTTATGATGGCCATGTAAGTCCATGTGACGACTCTGTGGGAGAAACCGCAGGTGCTCCCACACGGTTCGGCGGCATTGCTCATAGACAATGTATGATCTTTTGACTCTGTTTTCTAAGTGTAGTTCCATTTTAACTTGTTGTCAAAGGAGCTACCTAGGTACTTCACTTCTGTTGCAAAGTTTTGTTTTATGTTTAAGAGCTCTAGAGGTTTTAATTCAATTTTCTTCCTATTCCTTGTGACAACGACCATTTCTGTCTTCTTGGGATTGATAGACAGTGGGTGGTCCTTGCACCACTGTTCCATAATTAAAGACACGAGTGGATAAAGGTGTCATGTCACAAAAAGATTATTTCGAGAAAATCAAATTTAAAGTTTTACAATTGCATTACTATATATGGCTCATGATAGAGTAGAACAAACTTAAGTTTGGGACAGCAAATGTTGGTTGCATACTAATCTGCGCATATAGGCGGGCATTGTTTGTCAGTGGCGGGGGACGAAAATAAATGGAAAAATAGAAATACTTTTTTATGCATGTAACTATCAAAATTCGAAAGGTAATTAATTTGCTTTGTACAATAGGTACGTAAGTTGTTATGCTTTTTTAATTTAGAATACACATGCAGGTTACTAAATGTACCTAATTGTATCCACTAAACAACCTACTTACACAGCGTATTTTTTAAATTATTGTAAGTTTGTCATAAAATGTAGTTTTGGAAAACTTGTTAACTGCAATAAAGTACATGTATATACCTACGTAGCAATAGTTACTTTATAAAAAATTAGCATAAGCAAGTTTTTAAAATAAAAGGAAAATTTTTAAAAATTGTTGGTTTATTACTTTTACTAGATACTTAAATTAACGTATTTTTTTTCTTTATAGACATTTAATACATACAAGGAGAAAGGTACAAGTTAGAAATAAAAATAAAAATGTACTCTACGGACGATTCTAAACCTAAGAATTATATTCCTAAACTATATCTTCAGTAAAGCTTTCCTCTGATGAACCAGTGTTGACAGTAAATTTCAAGGTATCCATGGCTGCGTCCAATAAATGCTCCTTTTCGATTTGAGCATCTTCATACTTCTTGACATGGCTACATATGTTAGCCCATTCCTTTATGGATACATCAGCAAATTTCGTTCGTGCTAAACTTACTACATCGTTTAACACGAAAGTTGTATTGTGAGATGCCACGCAATTTTTAACCAAGGCCCATATTTTTTCAATAGGGTTAAATTCTGGATGATATGGTGGCAAGCGAAGAACTTTCTGTCCGTGTTCTTCTAACAGCTTATCCAATACGTATACAGGTGGAAACCGTGGTTTATGTTCTTGAATAATTTTGTATAATTCTGGTTTTGTCAATTTGTCGTTAAACGGGATGCTATTCTTCTGTAGCCACTTAATCATAACCGCTTTACGACTACCAGGCGTTACATTTTTTTCAACTGTCACATTGTGATAGGATGCGTTATCTAGTACCAGGACCGACTTTTCCGGTAAGTTGGGCAAGATCTGGGTATTAATCCACTTCATGAAGTTGCCATGGTTCATATCATCGTGATAATCGCCGCTCTTACATCCTGAAAATAAAAGTTTCCTGAAATTGTTCTCGATAGTAGCATGCATTTATTTTATTGAGATTTAGAAGTATTTTAGGTTACTGGTTTTGTAATAAACTTGTTTTATTGTTATAAAGGTGTCGTCTCACTTCGTACTGTCTCAGTTTGTACGATGCAAAAATTATACCTGTTTTAGTTTCAGTTTCAGTTTGTACGGACTCTCCCAAACCAATTATTGATAGTCTCATTTCGTACTATCATCCCGAAATTACCTGGTTTAAATTATAAAGTACTTTATTAAATATGTATTATTTCTATTAGATATTCAATAAGTACACAAAGCAGCATGTTTGGGTTTTCCCAAACAGAGCGTCCTTTCTTAGTTAGGTACCTATTAAATAACTACAGATCATCTTAATTCGTATAAGTACCCCAATCAAAATAGGTAAATAGATTTATGTGAATACTTAACGGATTACGATACTGTACCCGAGTATTTTTGGGTTTTTCGCAAAATATTTATTTTATGTTCGGCGAAAAATGTTTGATATTTTATGATGTACAGGGATCTTGATTGTGCAATACAGGAAACAGTCAGTGATTTTGTAGAAGGAAGAAAATCTGTTGGATCATGTTTAGAAAAATTACAGTACGTTGTAAAATTTGAATAGTATTTTTCAGTATTTCTGTATATATATAAATAAAATTATTCATTTCATTTATTTTATTGTAATAAACATATTTTTCACAAATTAATATATGCTTTATTATATCACCACATCAATTTCGACAAAAATTTGTAAGTGTGAAATTAACATTCGTGACTGGTTCAGTATAATACGTCATACGAAATGAGACTAGTCATAGGTAAATTAAAGATATTTGTAGGGTATGCGTGAATTAATTACCTGATTTAAAAATTAAAAGTCCATTAGGTATAAACCCAGTCTCTCCTCCAGCATGAACAATAATTAATCGTTTCCCCTTAGAAATCGGCTTTTTTTAAATTCTTGGGCTCTGGTCTGACCAGCGGTTTGGTTGAGTGTGGCTGTTATGTATATAGGTTTCGTCGATATACACTATTGGTCTGCCCTCAGATCTATATTGTAGTAGCTTCTTCAAATATTCAATTCTTTTTATTCGAATATCATCGTTTTCTATCAGGACACTCCGATTATCTTCTGTTTTTCGCCACCTGTAATTTGTTATAAAATATTTGAAGAATACGCAAAAAGGCTTTGTCCTAATTTATTGTATATTGTAAATTGTAAATAAGTACCGTAAATTAGCAGAATGGTAGATCGTTAAAAGTATAAGCACCTGAATCCTAACTCGTTTATTGTTTTCCTTAATGTCTCAATTGACCCTGGAAATTCCATTTGTTTGTCCTTCATCTTTTGCATAATACCTTGAATAAATAGAAGTAGGTACTTTAAAATGTTTGGTTGGGAATGAAAATTTATATACTTACCAGCAAGTGTAGGTGATCTTTTCTCGATGGTGTAGAAGTCATAGATTACATTTTTAAGTGTTTCTGTTTTTCCAGGGCTTAACTTAATTTTTTTGTCACGACGACGTTTTTTCGGAGCCATATCTTCCAAATCACTTTTATTTCTAAATTAACTATGTAGATACTATAACTAAACTTATACACTAACTATTATTGCTACTCTACTATAACTATTACGGCACTAAATTAAAAAAAAATAAGAATAAGGAAATACACCACTTGAATAAAAAAGAGCACTAGATATACCACATAGCGCTGTTAGATGCAAATTGTTTCACCTATTCGCCTCTTTACGCTACGGTACTGACCATCGCCGTGTTAGAGGTTGGCATGGTAACGATAGTCAACAAATCTACGGCGCAACCATCGGATCGACACGTGGGTGTACCAAACTTAAGTTTGTTTTACTCCACCTTCGTATCTGATGAATAGCCGTTATTTATCAAAATTGGAAATTAGAACTACCTATCACAAACAAAAAATATAGTATATTTTAAGTAGAATAGGCCATGAAAATCATTTTTTGAAAAATGTGACATGATCCACTTGTTTTTAATTGTTCTCAAAATTCTCATGTTATTTGCTTACGCTATTGTGTAATGACTGTCATTATTTGTAAGTACAATAATGATACTTATTTTGTTATTAAAATAATCTATTTTTCAAAAAGAACATAGTAAGAATTTTCTGTATGCCATTGTTACTTTAATGTGTTCAATTCTTATGAACCAAACGACAAAAATTGATTAATTTTCATGAGTTTCCCAGTGTATTAAGTTCCCATGCTTTAGTACATACGAAAACTCATTCAGTTTCGCTTCTTGGGTAGGTATTCTTTGACAGTAGGCATTTTGAAATAATTTGTTAGGACTTGACAAACTCTAAATTATTGCAAACTTTATCAAGTAAAAACTGCTAATTTTATAGAGTATTTAAGCTGCACTTCTGTTTGACAAGAGACAGATTGATATAGTATTGTTTATAATGCGCTAGAAAACTTACTATGAATTTGACAGCAAGCAACTTGATGAAAATTAAAAAAAAAAAAACGAATCTCACTTATTTGTGGAGCGATTTCAAAATTTTAAAGAGTTGTACAGAGAAAAGTACAAAAATGAGCAGAAAAAAAATTAGGGTGTCGTTAATAATTTTTGAGGGGGGTAGTTTTTGAGGGTGGGTTATCAAATTTTTATTTGTTTCAAAGTACACCGCCAATTATAATGGATGACTTTTGTCTAGTTCGATTATCTTGCATGGTTTAGAAGTTATAGCATAGGTAAAACAATTTGGGACACCCTGTATATTTTTATTTTGATTTATGATTATTTTTTTAATGATTATTATTTATTATTTCAGGCAATTGCTTACTGGTGTTGATAATTTAAGAATAATGGCAGCTTCTTTAGAAAATATGCATCGAATAGAAGAGACCAGCAATCCATTCTCAAATTTCGATGAAGACGCTGGACCAGCACTATAACTTTTTATACAGTAGCTTGTTTTTATTGTAGTATTATTAAGTACTGTACATAAATAATTTTTATTTATTGTTACATTGGAAATTTTTGATACATGTGATTTTATTTAATTTATAAAGTATTAATTAGATTTGTCAACGTTGTATATATTTATACAAATTGTAAAACGCGCCTTATTTTAAGAAATCTTGCCATCGGTTTGCATGTCAATAATTTCGATTCTAATAACTCGAATATATGAAAATCTGGTATCTTCGTTATTCTGAAATGTGATGTTCGGTTACCAGTGCCATTTGAATTAAGTTATCGTGTCAAATGGATTATAACCTGGATTACATTAAATTAAATAATATTATGTCAAAAAAGTACGTTTTTTACAATAAAATGATAAATTATCAATTCTACTAGGGTATTTTAAATCTGACGAGATTAAAATTGTAACTACAGTCATATTGGACTCTAAATTTTACACTATTTTTCAAATTTGAAATAAACTTCTACAACTATATATTTTTGGAAAATTATTTTATTTTATATCTGAATACATAAACTTGGCCAGGAATTAGAGTAGATTTACTTGTGAAAAATTGAAATAAAGCTAAAAGTTGGTGTATTTGATGACCTCCATTAAATTGCACCTGGAGCTTTCTTAAAAAAAAAGATCGATTTTTTAAGGCGCTGCTTCTCTGAAATGAAAAATTTTTGTCCAGTCTTCATCATGTAGGTGACAAAAAAAAACACGAGAGTACTATCCTAGTAATTAACCCTCACTAAAAGCCACGCCCCCATGTTTTGCACTGCTTTCATTTTACAAGCGCTATGGGCTGAGCGGATGGTCTTTCCAAAAACCGCATTATACTGAAATATACGTTGCAATAGTTTTTCGAGTCAATAGCTTGACAATTAAGGGAGTGGAGAGAATAAAAGTTGAAGAGTGCTGAAATTTTGCAGATCGGTATACTTAAATAAATGCTTTGATAAACATATCCGAATTTTAATTGTATAGTAATCAAAGTATGTGCTTTCCACATACTTTGATTATTATACGGTGCAAGAGAGAGGTCCGACACGCCCAACATAGGGCGCGGCCATTTTGATGCCTTTACCACAGTTTATAGCTAAAGAATCAGTTCGCTCACTCTGCGACGGCACTTTTGATCTCAATGTTCCATTTTATATACTGCGCAACTCGGATAATACAATATGTGATAACCGCCTATAATAAAACAGCAGTCTTCTGCGTATTCTGAATTTCTGGGCCTCAATTCTCGACTTTTTTTCCCATGGGAAAAAGATAATTTTCCTATGGGAATTTATATTTTGTATTCTCGACACATCCACTAGGAATATTTTCTCACGAAAAGTATGGGAGCAAATACACCTGGATAGCTATTCACTAAGTCATGGGAGCGCTCCCATGGGAGTGCTCCCATATATTTTGCTCTCTTACTCTTAGGTGGGTATATCGTGCTTACTCACTTTTAGCCCAGGTACATGCGTAGTAAGGTCAGATTTTATACTATGGGAGGGAGAATTGCGGGCTTGCCAGATTAGGTCCGTATTTATCACAAAGCAAATTTGAACTACTAAGGGCCGATTCCACCGTTGAGTTAAACGGAGATTAAAATGACATTGTTAATGTAAAAATGTCATTTTAAACTTCGTTTAACACAACGGTGGATCGGTCCTTAAATAGTAGATCAAAGTTATTCTGTCGACTTGGCAACGTTGGCATGGGAGTATGGGAGCATGGGAGTGTGGGAGTGCTCCCATGAGTTAGAGAATAGGTATCCTGGTATTTGGCATGGGAAATCAAATTTCCAATGGGAATATTGGTAATTAATTATACCTGATTCTACTGAATCTGTCACTAGTGACATTTGCTAGTTACTTCAAATAATAATATTTATATATTATTATTACTAATACAGGGTGGCCACTTTTTTAATGGGATTGTATTAGTAATTTCCAAACCATACTAGTTAGAAAGTCGGTTAAATGGAGAAAAAGTTGCCTATCTCGAAGCATAATCTAGCGATGAAAATTAATCGAAAATAGCAGGCCCGGCTCTTGAGATATTTCGATAAAAGGAAATTCGATCTTTTCGGTTTTTTGGTTATCGTACATTTATTTTCAGAACTAATAAAAAATATTTTAAAGGTTTTTTATTTGATAGTAAATTTTCTTTGATTTGACGTTTTCATATTTTGCATCCAACGTTTCGTATTCTCCAGACCACCCTCAACTTATTTTTTTAAAATATGGACCTGGATATTTTATAACATTATTTGAAATAACTTTTTGTCCTGCATCCAGCGGTGTATTACACAATGGCATTCAATGACGGTTTTTGGGTAATATGGACCGTAATCCAAATTTTATTTAATTTACGCTTGGTTTCAGCCATCTTTAGTTGAATCAACATGTCATGCTCATCGATAAAAAAATAAAATCAATTCTTACAAAATTTATGTAATTTTTCGAAAATTAAACAATTCATCAACAACAACAATAGTAATGTAGAAATTTTAAAACGCAATTAATGATAATAACAAAAAGAAATTCAGTTTTTGTTAGTCATAATCAAATTATTTAAAAATATCAATAAAATTAATTGAGTAATTGTTCAAAATGCCCGCCATCTTCTTCAATACATTTAGCAATTCTGATATTCATATTTCTTATGCTATTGCTTATTTCTTCTTCTTGGATATCTTCCAATGCATCTTCAATCTTTTCGCGGAGAATCTCAATTGTTGCATTTGGTGTATTATACACTTTATTTTTGAGACGTCCCCACAAATAAAAATCTAATGGATTCAGATCTGGCGATCTGGCAGGCCACGCCACTGGACCTCTTGTTCCAATCCATGAATTGGGAAAAGTCTGATTCAAATAATCCGTGACCATTCTTGAATTGTGTGGACCACATCCATCTTGTTGGAACCAGATTTCGTTAAGACGATACTCTAAAGGAAGATCATCTAACATATCCTGCAGTATATCTAAATATTTTTCTGCAGTAAGGTTTCCGTCAATAAAGTATGGTCCCAGTAATTTATTATTTAACAAACCGCACCACATATTCAAAGAGAAACGATATTGATGTCTCACTTCTTGGATTAGGTGAGGATTTTCCGTAGCATAAAAATGTTTATTTCTTCGATTGAGCATACCAGAATTTGTAAATGTTGTTTCGTCTCCCCAAATGATATTGTGTGCAAAGTTGTTATTAATTCTTACCTTTTGTTTAAACCAATTACAAAATCGCAATCTTCTTTTAGGATCATTACGATATAGTTTTTGTACAGCTTGGTATTTGTACAGCTTGGTATTTGTAATCATGGTATCCGTGTCTCTTGATTATCTTATTAACAGCACTTTTTGATAAGTTACATTCACCTGCAATAGTCCTCGACCCAACTCCTGGATTTATTCGAATTTGAGCTAAGACATTAATATCGTTGACTGGCTCCTTTCTTCGAACATACGGAACTCTAGCTTTATCGAATGTATTATGTTCGAGAAGAGTTGTAGACAAACGCCGAAATTTTTTTATATTTGGTTGCATTCTGTCGGGATATAAATCCTCGTACCTTTGTTTAACGAATTTCTGTTCAGTTTGATGTATAATTCGTACATATCTCGTCTTTCTTCTGCAGTGTATCTTACTATATTGAAGTTAGACTAGGTACCAAGAAACACAAAAAACTTTTGAACAATGAGAAATTTTCGTAAAGCAATAAAGAACAACATAATAATAATGTGACAGTTCTTGTAATATGGATTGTTTTCACGGCCTACTATATTTTATAACAAGTAAGATGATATTAGTTTAAAATCATATCAATTGCTGTGCCAGTAATAAAATAATATTTTGCCTTCAAATTTGGAGGTATGTATTGTCAAAATTTTTTTTTTTTTTTTTTTTTTTTTTAACTAAGTTAGTGGCACTGGATATAAACCAACAGGCCAGTCAATTGTCAGGTGAACAAATAAAAATATATAACAAACTTTATTACTTTACAAATTATATTAAAGTTGCTCTACCTTAATAACTAAAAATAACCTGAACTTAATAAGGTTTAGATGTTTTGTTTATTTATGTTTTTTTTTATTTTTGTTTTTTTTATTTTTGTTTTTTTTTTATTTTTGATTTTTTTTTTTTTTTATTTTTGTTTTTTTTTTTTTTATTTCTGTTTTTTTTTTTCATTTTTTTTTTCTTCTCTTTATTTTTTTTTTCTTTTCTTAACAATTTTTTCGAGTCAGGTGTACAAATTTTTTTTTATTGGTAGCATCGCTACTTACATGTTTTATTTCTATTTCCTAATTACAATTTTAATTTGAGTGTTTTGACAAAATTATAGAGTATGTTATATATACTGTCAAATGTCAGTAGATTTTTTAAATTTATAGGTAATTGAATTTTGTTGTTAATTAAGTTTTGGTATAATAAATTAATTTCTAAATCGTTTAGAATACAATCCAAAAATATATGTTGTAAATCAGCAATCTCATCACAAATACACAAATCATTATCTATTAGACCTATTCGCTTCATATATTGAGGGTATAAAGCATGATTAGTTCTAATTCTGCTAATCGTTTGGATTAGTGGTCTATTTGACAGCTTATCAAACCACGGTTTTACCCTTATATTAGGTTGAATAGATTTATAAAAATTACCTGTCTCCTTCTCTATATATTTTGCTTGCCAATTTTGATCCCTTTTATATTTGAAACAAGTATTTAGATCGGATAGGGGTATTTTAAAATTACTTATGTAATTAAGTTTTGTTGCAGTTTTAGCCAAAAAGTCTACTTTTTCATTATTAGGTATTCCCATATGGGCTTTGACCCAAGATATGTATATTAGTTTATCCTGATTTCTTGCCTCAAAATTTAGTTTTAAAATGTCCAGAATTATGTAATTAACTTTAGAATTGAAATTAAAATTTTGAAACTTTTGAACTAAACTTTTTAATAGTCGAATAATTATTAATTCTAATTTATTTTTTCCTAATTATAATCACTTTATCTTCGAAGTATTATACACTGAAAAAATTAACGCTGATTATAAATTCAATACAGAAGATCCGTACCAATAAAATTTGGATTACGGTCCATATTACCCAAAAACTGTCAGTGAATGCCATTGTGTAATACACCGCTGGATGCAGGTTAAAAAGTTATTTCAAATAATGTTATAAAATACCCAGACCCATATTTAAAAAAAAAAGTTGATGGTGGTCTGGAGAATACGAAACGTTGGATGCAAAATATGAAAACGTCAAATCAAAGAAAATTTACTATCAAATAAAAAACCTTTAAAATATTTTTTAGTAGTTCTGAATATAAATGAACGATAACCGAAAAACCAAAATGATCGAATTTCCTTTTATCGAAATATCTCAAGAACCGTACCTGC